TATAATAATCCTTATATTTAGTGACTTTTAATCAAATAAAGATTTCAGTTTTGGAAAGTTTCTACTAGATATCAGTTTTTAGCAAAATAACACAATACATTAATTTCATACTTTACAATTATGATTAAGAAAAAAAACAAAGGAAATTCAAGATCCTGAGAAGAGAAGTCAAAGGAAAATTTTTCTGGTTTTGATGAATAAGTAATGACAGTGATTTGAAGATATTGTAGGACATTAAGAAACGTTATAGAATGAAAGAATTGATGGTGATGTGTTTCATTGAAAAGTATGTAGCAAAGTGGCAATTGGACTGAACAATAAGCAAGGGAAAAGTTGCTTTTTCCATTTATAATGTGGAGCAACTAAGGTTTCAAATTATGTTAATTAGTTGTAGAATTCATAAGCATATCATTTGAAATCATTCAAGCAACACTAATAAACAAAGAGACTATGAGAAATATTGTTGTATAAATTTTAGAATTTTCCTGCTTCAGCATTTGGTTATTATATTTTTGTAAATTTTTTCAGATAACTATCAATGTTACAAAATATCTTTAATTTAGGTATTTCTAATGTAAAGAGTAGAGAAAGCCTAGTCATGAGTGCTTCTGATTTGATTGACTCAGACCCATTTGGAGCAGCTCCTTTCAGTTCAGCAAGTAAGAATATTAAACTTGCAATTGAATTCAGACTCTAAAACTAAAGCTTAAATATATTTTTTGTTCACTAATTTTTATTAATGAAAGGGTTTTAAATAAATTTTAAAAATTATTAAATATAGGTGCAAAATCAAGTGGAAAAGAAAAAACGTTTCAATCTGAACAGATGTCAACAGCACCTTTAACTGGAACAGGTAAAGTAATTTAGCATAAATATTTATATAATATTTCTTATATATTAGCTATAAGTGTGTCTTTTCAAATTGAAATTTTTAGTTGCTTCTGCCGACCGTGATATATCATGCTACGTTCCACTATATTCCGAAGGTGATGTTGACGGAGAATTAAGGCAGCGTCACAGTAGTGAAAATTCCAGTGCCTCTCGCGAAGGAAGTCAAAGCATACACAGCAAGCGATCTAGCAAAGAAATCTTTGGTGCTTCATTTGTTAAGATTCCAATAGAAGATAGATCAAAATATGAAAAATTATTAGATTTTGATGAGGAGGAACAAAAAATGATTCCTGTTACTCACGAAGATAGTGATTCAATTGGCTCGGCAAGCGATCTTAGAGCTCAAGTCGATTCTAGTGAAGAAGAAGATATTTGTTCCGACACGTCAGATAAAGACGAACAAGAATATCCAAAGACAGCTGAAAACTTATCATTTACCGACAGCAGTGCTACAGAGAAGACCAGAAAACTTTCGGAATCCACGAAAGGATCTTATCAAGACGTTTTCATTGGCCATTGGGAAGGAGATAAACCTCTTTTAGAAGACGATGAATTGTCAGATGGAGAACAAAAACAAATATTATCAGAAAGACAAAACTTTTCAGAAATTCCAGTTTCTACCGATAAAGAGAAACATTCTGATGTGTTTGGGGCTGCTCCTTTCAAAAAATCCTCTTCCATTACATCTAAAAGTTCACTTATTAATAGTGAAACGGATGAAATTGATGTGTTTGCACAAGCTCCTTTTAGAAAGCCCAATACAAAAATTTTATCAGAAACAAGAAAATTGCGTTTACAAAAGAAGAAATCGAAAGATGATCCAAAAGAAGAAATCAAGCCAGAAAATCCAGACATAACAAATATGGAACAAGCGAGACTACCTCTTACTTATAATCAAGTAACTCCTATCAATACCGAAAAGCCTCTGTCTTCACCTGTGCAGCAGATATCAAAGTGGAAAGATAAGGATTTGTTTGGTTCAGCTCCGTTTTCTCAAATTTCAAATTCCTTATCGGGATCAAATAAATCTATCCAAAATAGCCCAAAAATAAGCTACCAGAATATTGGAAAAGTTCAAAAGCATAGTTCTAGTGAAATTAGAGTTCCCTCGCAGATTATAATTGGAAGCAAACAGAGATCGGTAGTTACTGTACCTCCAATTACAACAAACAGATCGCAGGTAAACGGAAGCCAAGATTTATTCGGTGCTATACCATTCAATAACATGGCAACTCAATTAGTCGGTACAAACAATTTCCCGGCGGCAGGAAAAAGCGTAAGAGTTTCGGAAATTTGTCACACCTCGACCGTCGACAACGGTAACATCCCTCAAAATTCATCTAGTTCCTTCAGTTGTGATCCCAACGGGAAAAAACTGACAACCCGCGACAAATCTCACTATCACGATTATATCGAAGAAGACAGCATCGCCCACGATGAAAACGTAAACGTGCTTCCATCAAAACACTACACTCAAATCAAATCAAGTAGAAGAACTAAGCACTCAAAGAAGAAAGAAGCACGAGATAAGGCTAGTAGTAACAACGCATTCTCAAACATGAGTTTCGAAGACATCGGCAGCGACGAGGACAAGAGCGTTCTCAACCGTTCTTTCACCAGAGACCAAAACTCGGGTAGCAACAAGTCTACTCATTCGATTAAAAAGACACTGACATGAATACATTTCTAATATTAAACCTTTTCCACACTACTATCGACAGCCGGCATATATTGGTAGAAAGCAGAAATATAATTACGAAGAAATTTTCCAAATCCATTACTTTTTAGATGGACACAGATTATATTTATGCAAAACGAAGACTTCGCATCCGTGCGGTTACAACTCGGGAGAAGCAAAAAATATCGCAGCATCCGACTCACACGTGTACATACATATACGAGTTGTATTTAGATCTAAAGAAAATACAACAATTAAACACACGTTCTTGCATTAGCCAATAGTTTAATGTGATAAGAATCTATACAGTTTGACAATTTTGCACGAGTATAAAGGCATTGCCACCTTCGAGACATATGAATTTGTGCAGGCACAACTGGTTTAAAATGCTAATCCTTGTTTTGTTTTACTTTAGATCTTGCTTGTTCTTTCCAAATGCGAATTTTAAGAAATTTTTTTTCAAATTTTTATAACCGATTTCATTTTGTTTTAATGGCCCAATCAGGGAGAGGTGGGTTTAGATTTATTTGACATTTATGCCAAGACTAATTGTGATAAAAGTGCGTGTTGACTAGGGCTCGTTAACGGGACAAACAAAAGTCGTTACTACTTGATGGGTGTGGTGCATCGACAGACACAGCACGAAGGGAATAGAAACCAATCCATAAATATTCCTTTACAGTCGTCGTCCGGATCGTACGCAAGCAGACGGTGCCACTTGTATTTTTGTTCGCAGCTGCATTCGTTGTTGCATTTCTTAGTTTGTACGGATCTAGAGGGGAAAGAAAGTGATTGACATATCATTTTCTTAAAGAGAAAAATTCGATCAATTCAAAAATTGTCACTTACTGGCACACTTCCTGCTGAATGGCCTGCTGGAGATGTTGCGTATTGACGATGGCACGAATTTTCCCCGCACTGTTGGAAGCCCAATAGGGAGTGACTATTTCCACTGCAGATTCGCAAGCATCTATCCTGTAATTGTAAAAGTGACTGTACAGTTGTGTGTAAAACAATAACTGTAAAGATCAAAACTTTATTCCCCCCTTATAATTTTCCAATCGATTTTGAAACAATTATTTTTTATCAATTTGTAAATGTCAAACAATCTTGTTTCTTAAATGAAGAAAATACGAGA